CACACCTAATCATACATTATGATTTGCAAATATAAATATCACAATTTTCTCAAAAAATAAAGAAACAAATCAATTACTTACAAGGTAACATTGGAACGCACCCCCATTTAGTAATATGTTTAGGAGCTAATATAATATATATTTCTACAACTTGAGTATACTTAGAGCAAAATGTGTGATTCTATGTTGATATTGACCTGGGCCAGTAACCAGGAATATGTTGTGCACCCAACCACGCATGCGCACTGCGCAGAACAATTAGGCCATGACGTTAATTGGCACATAACTCCAGGTGATAATGTTTCCACATCGATTTGTGATTCTCTTCAGCAAAATTATCTCAATAGTGCCTAATCAGACGCATTTGTGACTCCTAACCATAACCTGATTTAAATAATTTCCAGGGGTAAAACCTTTATACAGTATATGGGTAAAACACACCTCTGTACACTTGTTGACATTTTAAAATCTGCATCACTTGCAGTTGCTATCGGTTACTGGGATTCTGTTTATCTTTAAATCTAAACCTTACTTTATATTCAGTTTCTCTCCGGTGTCCCCTGCTGACAACATGTTGCCCTCCGATAAAGTACGTTTTTATAACTTTCTTATGTTTGCTAAAGAGTACATTATGTTGCTGTGATATCAAAGTTAGCTAATGTTAGTGCTGTTTCAAAGCTAGCTAGCTAGCAGAGTTATTCATTTATTTTACAGTTTTAACTATTAATCATACAATTAAAATGTTTAAAGTAAATCACCAATTTGCCAGGCACTTAGTGTTATACTTACCTATAAATACAGTTATAAACGTTGTTCATTAACGCTAGTCAGTCTTGTGTCAAGCTGATCCGTTTATGCTAGTTAAGCTAACGTTAGCTTTCCTCCTGGTGTTTCACTAAGCGGATTCATGAAGCATACTATGTCTTTGGCATGGAAGCTACACCTAGCTAACTAACCATTGATTATCACTGTATTTCCTCGTCCAATACCATAAAAAAAAGTCAGGCACAGGAGTACCTTCAGTGCAATACTCATTCGTTCCACCAAGACAGGTGCACTTGGACAGACTGTGTTTAACGCGCACAACAGAGCGCCTGTTGCCATCAGAGTGTTTAACTTGTACTCTTCCCAATAGACTGACTCTGGACTCACTTCACCATCAGAAGCTAATACCGTTTTAAATTGTGCTATTCAGACTTTTCTATATTTAGTAACTTGTAGTAGGCCTATGTTAACTGGCTGCCATCAGAGGTGGAAGAAGTACTCAAATTGTGTAAAAGTAGAACTACCAGAGTGTAGGAATACTCTGATACATGTTAAAGTCCTGCAATCAAAAATGTTAATCAAGTAACAAAGTACAAAAGTATTAGAATCAAAAGATACTTAAAGTACCAAAATTAAAAGTATTCATTATGCAGACTGGCCCATTTTAGAATATGCATCATATGTTTTGATTATAAATATTAATGCATTAGATTGTTATCAAAGCTGGTAAAGGTGCAGTTTAACTACTTGATATACTGCAGGGTAGCCTGTGAATTTTACTCCAGGTCTTAAAAGGTGTTACATAAATGTTGTGGAGTAAAAGTACACTATACATTCTGATTTGTAGTTGAGTAGAAGTACAAAGTAGCAACACATTGAAATACTTAAGTAAATTAGAAGTACCTCAGAATTGTACTTTAACTACAGTACTTGAGTACATCTACTTACTTTACCCCACTGGCTGTCATGGAGGTTATGTGAACTGAAAAACAACATTTCTTTGGAGGAATAAATGCTTGTTATATATTGAGTTCCGGCATTATGTTTTGTGGTGTTCTAGGTTTGAGGCTGCCTGAAAAATTAAGCATTGCATTTAACACAAGCAAGAACTCACAACAGATATCATGGTGTAATGGACATAGGTCTACGGGATTCATCTATAATGACAACTCATTGTATAGTCATACTGCAGCCAGTGGGTTAATTATCTTTCTGTTTTTTCAGTGTCATCAGGACCAAATGAGCTTACTTGAACAGGAGAGACTGCAGCCGCAGATGTTGCCTGCAGTGCAGTCAGCCCAGTATACACTACTGAGAAAATATGGTGACCTGAATGCGCCACAACATGTATCCGATGTGGAAGCAAAGACGGCTCAGCAGGCCCGCAAAAAGATTGCAGCTCGTCTAACAATCGCAAAGTTATTTCATCGATACAGGTTAGAAAGCATTGAATTTGAATTTTAAAGCTCAAGCTAGTTAGAAGGTTGTGATTACTGTTATTCAAAGGTACTGTACTACCCAGGTCACATGACCATTTTGACTAGGTTAGGTTTAGTTTATTATTTAGTTATAGGGCATTCTATTATAGTTTACTCAAACGTATTCTTTATGTTTTTACATTGTGTATTGTGTGTTCTTTAGATATGCTATAGATGTATATATTTATGTTTTTAATAAGCATATATTAACTGATTTTAATTGCATTATGTGTCATGCCTTTTTTGCTCCCGCTGTAAAAAGCATTTCCAGATTTGGTAACAAAAAAACCATACTTTATCTAATGTTATCTAATAAGGCTACAGCGAAAGCTAACTTAATCCCAAGGTTTTTATTAGTGAACCTACCATCAGACAGAAGAGGATTTGAGAGATTAAGCAGAATCTTAGCACTTGACATCTGGTTTTCAACTATACTCAATACAGTGCACTTTATTGACTATTTAAACATGTTCTGGGATTGTAGACATCAAAACAGTGCTAATGGAAATAAGGAGTTTTTCTCAAAACCATCTGCTCTGTCTACCAAGGACAAGAGACAGGAGGAAGCAATGCAATGATAAGGAATTCACAACATGATATAAACCTTGAAAGGGAGCTACCTCAGCCCTCAACTGAAGAGTTTAACCCCTCCTCCACAGCATCTGTCTCCCAAGCATGATAAAAACACAGCACGTTTAGTTGGGACAACTGCAATTATTTAAACCAACAGCAAACTCTCACTGATATATAATGAGTCTAAGGACATGCCAGGAACCAGTGTGCCAGAAGCTGTGTCTATTCCTGTCTGGGTAATATAAGCACTAGAAAGTGATGTAGTCTGCTACAAATCTGGCTTATCAGTTACAAATGCCATGCCATGTTCAGTTTGCTCCCATCAGACACAATACTTGTACAAAGGTAGCTCTGCATAATAATTCATGTCCATGGGATTTGTAATTAATGGTCTTCTTACTCACTACCTACTAATTGTATATTACACTTGATAATAGCAGTGCAGCAATTCCAATTGAGCCATTTATGAACATATCTTGACCTGAGAGGAAAGGTTGTGATATTGCTTCTATATTTAAAGACAAGCACACTTCAAATCCCACTCTTAACTACTTTCAGACCTCTGAGGTCTTGTCAAAAACCAAACTACTCACTGTTATCTCAACACATTTTGACAATCTCTTCTTATCCTCTTAACTATTACTTATTATCCTACAACACAGGGCTCAGCTGATCTACAATAAACATAATGTCACCGTCACCTCAGATACTCCGACAAAGGGAGAGAAGATCTGCCTCACTGTGTATGAAAACAATGTGAGTATATGATGATTAATAAGACATGCTTTTTGATGATTAAGCTAAAGAATAAGTGCAAATATAAATAAAGTATGAGTAAAGCAAAAGCCGATCGTTTGTTGCTCATTCCTTTAAAGAAAAGAGTATTCTGACTTTATATAATTACCTAATGTATTGTGTGAGCCCACACATCTCTGTTATCCTACAAGGGCCTAGTGTTCTTATATGAATACACTATGACTAAATACACTTGATGGCATTAAGTCTTACCTGGTACAATTCCTAAAGCAGTCTCCAAGAATGTGCACATGACGGCGGATGTGGGTAGTAAGGGGTCATACTAACAATTTGCATCATACATTTCCTTCCCAACAGATAATGGTGCCCCTCACTGTGAAAAACTCTGAAGTCGAAATGGTCTATTTATCTTTTTGGGCTTCTGAACTCGTAAAGGACATTTTCACTGTCAGTGACTGTCATGGAAATATTATCAAGACGCTAACGCAACACCCTCTTAGACCAGGTATGACAAAGACTCTTACAATCAAGAGACAGGTCTCATACGCCTTATGCGAAGTACTCCAGAAAGTCTTGTGTTAGATTAGGCTCAGCACTGGGGACAGTTAAAACTCAGTGGTTTAACAATGAGGATGCTGAATTCATACTGTAACACAAAATATATAGCTATAGCTATTTCATGTGGTGTATCATAAATGTATTATTTTATGATAAATCCAGCCTTGAAATATCTACTATCTTCAGTTTAGTCTTTATAAATTAACATTAATGAATATTGTATAAGCCTAATTTTCTTCAGCTGTTTTCCTCCCATGCACTTTCTAGGAGAGGCATATCAAATCCAGGTCCATTTCAACTCAGAGCATGCAGGCTTCTATGAACAGCTACTGGTCTTTAAGTTTGAAACACGACTGCAGTCTACAGATACATTTGAGGTTATGCGCCTCCTGGAAATCATCCAACGAACATCTTTTGATGAAGAGCCCCTCACTACAGTCCCAGACTCATTGTGCGACATCGAAACTGTGAAATGGATCCCTGTTGAAGGGTAATAAACAAGTTAATATAATGCGATATAAATGTTGTTTAAGTATATGTGTTGATTTGAAATCGTCCAATACAGACACATTTTATGTTTTCACAACTGATCTAATAATCCTAATACATCTCTCATGGCCTTTTTCAGACTTGAACCAAATGTACAGAAAGTTTAAATGTGTAAAGTTTTACATTTTCTTCTGCTTCCTCTCGGACAGTCTTAAATCAAATGGAACACTGTAATTGTTGTTCCCAATAAAGCAGATTGCAGATGTTTTGGACAGTACTATTGTTAATCATTAATGTCTTGTGTTCTTTCTTGTTTTCCTCTCCAGTTTCAATTATTCGTTGCTTCCCATGGTGGTGTCTTTGAAGGGTTACGAGATGCCAGACAGTATAAAAGATCTCAAGCAAACCACAATGTATGTATTTCAAAGTACACAAACACACACATATACACTAAATGAGAAAGTAATAATAGTACATAATCTGTACTAGAATGTATTCATCATAATAAGGTAGTGGTTACCAAATGTTGTGGTATATTTTAAATACTGAGCTTCATTATCAATAAAACAGGTCAGGGCAAAATGTAATAAGTAAAAGAAAATGACTAGCATTGAATAATGACTCTTGGAAATAGTCTCACTCCACCCTGAGCAAAGAGCTGTTGACATTACATAACACATCAAACCAGTTCTCTGCATTTTTATTCCACACAATTTATATTGTTTTAGAAAATGTTTTGCAATAGAAAGGGTCGGTTTGTAGAGGCAAGAATACAAAATAAAGTTTCAAATTGGAGGATCCTTGGCTAAACTGTAGTGAGTGAAATGCCACTATGAGCCATACACTTCCAATAGAGGGAACATGCCTGCTAAGCCTGTTACAGTGATCCAATTTGATTAAGCGTGTTGTTTTAGGGAGCTGGAGAAGATGCCTCTGAACTGGGAAAACTATCCGACGAAGTTTCACCTGCTGCTGTATCTCGAGGAGCTCCAGCAAAAGACAGAAATTGAGAAATACAACCAGGATGCGCCCCTGTTCAGACACAAAGACAACAGAGACCTTCTCATTCTGAAGGTAGTACACAAACACACATCTCACATCTAAGAATAAAACCGTAAACTCACATTAACATTTTGTTTTCTCAGATTGCATGTGCTGCTAAGAACTCCCATTCGAGGCTGGTCGGGAACAAACTGCGGGTGTGTCCTTTAAACCCGTTAGGAGGCCTTAATGAGACATCTTATGAAGCCTGGGTCTGTCATATGGATCTGGAAAATATGTGGCTGCAATGTAGTAAAGGGTAAGACAATTGTTTAAAAACAAGATGTGGACAAATGGGATTAAATTATGAATCCCTTGAGGTGTTGACACAAAGAATATTTGATTGTCTGGTGGTGTATTTGCCCAATATAATTAAATCTATATACGCACCCTCTTTCTTTTACTGCTGCAGATTAAAATCAATAAGAGATTGAGCTATAAAACAGCATTTTGCTCCAAGTGCTAACCAAATAATCAACTTCAAATTGTTTCTGAAACAGGGGTTTCAACACTTTTCATTAATAAACAGAGCTAAGAAGACAGAGGAATCCGATTTTCTGCATTTAGTTTGTTTCACAGCTGGTATTGCTCTAATCTAAAGTTGAATGTACTTTCCTGCAACAACCTCAGGGCTTGAAATGAAATAAGTACATACAACAACATACTAATAATCACTGCACTTCTTCAAAGGTGTCCTAGGGGAGGATGGTGGGTAGTTCTTTTTATTTAGTACTGTAGACGTGGCACTAGAAATACATATTTTCTAAAGTGTTTTATTGTTTGTTTACTGCTATGTTGAATGTGTTAAGTTGTTCACTCTTTAGTGCTGCTCTTATAAATATAAACACAGGTTCCTGAGCTGTTTCAGGGATGGCATGAGGTTCCGTTTCTTCTTCTTTATCAACCGCATGCCATTGCGTAACCAGCACAGAGCAGTTGAGCTGGTGCAAACTCACAGACTGATGGAGGTGCTGTTCCCTACTGGAAAGTTTTCTTCCCACCATTCACGACTAGACAGGTCAGAATTCCTCAAGGTGTAGAAGCCAGGGAAAACATTATGATACGAACAAGGTCATACTTCAGTGCTATCTTATTAACCTACTGACTTACTGTTTGTCATGCTGCTACTCATTTTTTACCCATGTATGAGTACTTGTTTTTTATTAGACATCTGCTTTTTCTCTATATTTAACATGTTAGCAGATAAAAGACAAGCAATAGTTAAATAGCTATGTCACTTTTGATGTAACGCTACAATAATACATCACATCGACCCTTGCTTTTTTCCGAAGCAACTTACATATACCATGGATGCTTGACATGTTGGCTGCAGTGGGAGAGGGGGGGGAGGGGTCAAACCTTTAACCTTCTTTTGCACCTCTATCGCTCTGTCATTAGGCTGATAGAGCTTGAAAGCAACCCTGAGCAGTGCAACGCCGTTCTACATATTGTAGCTGCTTCAGCTAAACCTTCCCCATACCTGGTATTTGGTCCACCTGGCACAGGTACAGTATATGCATGTGGGTTAAAGGTCTCCTATCATGCCAAATGCACTTTTGAATGTCTTTTATACATAAATATGTATCCCCGGTGTGTCAGGGAACTCACAAATACCCCTTTCACACCAACGGTGTTTCAGGGCCGGTTCGGTGCTGGTGCTTGAAAAGCACCGGGTTTTCCTGTTCACACCGCAGCGGAGCAGCGTCATAGCTCCGGAATCCGGTTCGTTTCGAGCACCAAAAAGTTGTCCGTCTAGAAGCAAGAACCGCATACGTCACGCTTACGTCGGAGGGGGGCGAGATTAACCTGAGCTAACACTTAAGGCGAGTACGGCAAATAAAAGTTGTAACAAGCAGTAGTGCTGAGCAAAGTGACTAGAACGCAACCACACACTTGTTAAAAAAAACACACTTTATAAAGTCAGGCAACACTAACCAGGCTTCGTGTGATTCTGTTTATTTGTACCTTACTTTGACCATCCGTTCGGTGTTATTGATCATTGTGGAGAGCAGGCAGACGTTTTGTTTGTTATTATAGCAGCTATCGGATGGAATCAATACATGGGCTGCACAGGTTGTCATGTCCGACTATCACAAGTAGAATCATAATGAAAAATACGTTGGTAAAAAGTGCCTGTAGAAAACTGCTTAGCAAGTAGTCAGTTTAGCTTCGGTTGCTATGCTAACATCACCCATGTTATACCAGAGAAACTTTCATAACAGCGTTGTGATGCCAAACAGCGTCAATTCAGACTGACACCAAACAGCGTCAATTCAGACTGACACACATTCACTTAAGGGGAACTGGGGATATGTATCAGCTGCTTGTGTGACAGTCAGACAGTGAATACTTTAGAGCCGTGTGAGCTAACCCGGAGCTAACGGGAGAATACACTCGTGGAAGAGCAGCCGGCCAGCACTGCAGCGGTCGGTAAATGCCACTGAAACACATTAATAAACAATGAACCACGGCACTCTGGAGAAAAGTATAAGGTTGGAGAAGTCGTTATTTAATTTAATCTGGCTTCGTATGATTAAAAGCAACGCAGTCCCCGGCCCGTTGTTATTGTGAGGTGAGCTCCGGCGTTGGGGAGAAACTCAGCGACGTAAACTGTGACGTCATGACGCAGCAGCGGCAGCACCAGTCGGGCTCTGAGCGGTGTGAAAAGAGCCGGCGCTAAACCGAAGAACCGGTTCTGAACCAGAAAAGCTCTAGCACGGAGCTTGAACCGGAGTTGCGTTGGTGTGAAAGGGGCAAAAGTGTCAGAAAACAAAGCCCTCTCTCTTTTCCTCCTTACCCAAATCTCTAAAAACGGGGGTACAACAGAGCTGATCCAGATTTGCGTCCAATATGACGTAATATCGGAAATGTGGACCCACGGCCCTATCGGAAACAATGCTATCAGAAATGCCCGACGTGTTTTGGACGTAATGTGGTCTTTGTTTACATTAGCAAGCATCGCTAACACTCAGAGATAACCTGTACTGGAGAGCGTATGTGTAAAAAAGCAGGAAATAAAAAAAGGAACTCACCTTGTGGTAAACCTGCAAGAGAAAAAGCATTTGAGCTCCATACTGTTTCAGAAATAATCCTTGATGTGGTTTGGAACATGATATGGCGTTTAATCACGGCAGCATTTAGCTGTATCTCGTAGAATTCTGAGCAGGCACAAGCTCCCCCTCCTCTTCAAGCTAAGGACCCAGAATCAGCCCTTCTCTAACAGGCCTGAAATAGATGGATATGAGGGATGTCTAAAATGCATGATCTGTTTGTATTTTGAGCAACACACATCATAGACATGTTTTTTATATATTTGTATATATCTGAGACCCATAATATATGCCTAAAAATAGCATAGGAGACCTTTAATGCCTCGTGATGCTTACGTTTTGAATTGTATTTCCATTTAAAATAACCTATTTTACATGTTTTTGTCAGGAAAAACTGTGACTTTGGTGGAAGCCATCAAGCAGATAGTGAAAAGGCAGCCCTGCTGTCACATCCTGGCGTGTGCCCCTTCCAACAGTGCAGCTGACAATCTATGTGAGAAGATTCGGGCAGAAAGCATACCCACATCCATGGTGTATCGCTTGTATTCCCTAAGCTACCCTGTGGCAAATATCCCCCCAAAGAGCTTGGTAATACCAATACATAGAGTGTTGCTGCTTCACCTCTATCAAATATCATCATTCATTCTCTGAGACCATTGTTTTAACTTGTGTTGCTGTTGTGTCTATATGTACAAATGTGGGCTTTTGTTTTGTTTTGTATAGTGCAACCTGGAAGAAAAGACAAAAACACTCTCGATTCCCCATAAAGAAATTCTGATGTGGCAAAGGATCTTGGTTACCACCCTGCAAACAGCCGGAAGGTACATTACGTTGTTACATTCTTTTTTAATAGCCAATAAGGATTTTAACCGAACATATGATCATTTTTGACATTTCACAACAGGAAAAGAACAGGAGAAATAATAGTAGGCTACAATGAATGGCTGAATTTCATTTAGGTGTATCAGTTCCAAGTAGTGTGGTCGTGTGCATGCTCGCTCAATAGCATGGTTTACTGGGAAAAGCCATAACTAATGTAACTAGGTACATCTCTGATTCATCAGCAAGTGTCAGCAACAAGACACTTGCTAAACATTCAACAAACATCTCAGCCATAGCAGCAGCATTACTCACATATATATAAAAAAGAGGCACATAATCCACTGTGTGTTACTAGTACTAAACAGCAACTGCTTTATCTTAAATATCTAAATATTTTTGATTTGCTCTCTCTCCTGCAGGCTAGTGTCAGGAGGGATTCCTCCAGGTCATTTCACCTATCTATTTGTGGATGAAGCAGGCCAGGCTACAGAAACAGAGTGTATCATCCCTTTAGCAGGTGAATAGCAAGCAGAGCTTTAACATCAGTATTTTAAATTCTGCATGAGGTGTGACCTTCATTTGTGTTTGTTCCAAAGGTTTACTGGATCCACAAACATGCCAGTTAGTGCTGGCTGGAGACCCTAAACAGTTGGGCCCGATCCTCTCATCCATAGTAGCAGAGAAACATGGCCTAGGTGAGAACTGTCTTTTCCTTTTGAACATATTGGTCAGGTGTTTGATGTCTGTTTATTATTGCCTGTACCTAAAGCAATACAAACAAATATTTAAAATAATTACTCTGTGCAGGTGTGTCAATGTTGGAGCGTCTGATGAACAACATTGTCCTTTACAAGTCACATGAGACGCATGGGTTCAACAACCGCTTTGTATCCAAACTACTGAGGAACTACAGGTGCAGTTGTCATGATGCCCTAATGAGTCACTTTGTCCTTTCACAATGTCACTTTTTAAACCACGGGCAACCATCCCATGCTTTGTCTGAACATGTCCATAATTCACAATAGCCTTTTTTTCCTCTTTACTCTCTCTCAGGTCACATCCTGCAATTCTGAAGATTCCCAATGAGCTCTTTTATGCTGGACAACTTCAGCCTTATGCTGATAAAGCGACATATAGTGCATACTGCGATTGGGAGTGCCTGCCCAGAAAAGTAATGTCCACATGTGCACACACACAAAGTCTCTCTCTCTTTCTACCCCTTACCCTATTCTCACGTCTTTGTCTTTTTCTCAGGGTTTCCCTTTGATCTTCCATGGAGTGGCAGGTACTGATGAACGGGACCATAACAGTCCCTCTGTTTGCAACATGGCGGAGGTGGAGGTGTTGAAGGATTACTTAAAAGCCCTTGTTCGGCATTTTCACAAAAAGGGTGTGACCAAAATTGAACCAAATGAAATTGGCGTCATTACCCCGTACATAAAACAGGTGAATATGTTATCACAATAATCTGGATGTATTAATAGACTTGGATGTAATACAATATTTCTGGAAATACAAAATTAGCTTCTACTTCTTCTAAGGTGCCGAGAACTAAACAACACAAAAATAATCCCCTATGAATCGCAGTACACGTTCCTGTAGACCGCCATTATTAAAACACACCTGTAAAACCGGTGACATGACCTTTATATACACAGTCTATGGACATGACACCTCAAAATCAAACAAGGTCAATATTTATGAATTGCTACTCTTGTACTTTTAATATTTGTAAGAGTTTTTCAGATTCTAGAAAAGCTGTTTTTATGTGCCTAATATCTATCTAAATAGATAGATAGATAGATAGATAGATAGATAGATAGATAGATAGATATCTGTCTAAAATCTACAAAACATGCTGTACAGTATGTTGTGTGAAAATGTAATGTAATGTGATTTAATAGGTTTCTTCTTTGAGCCAGTATGTGTCGTATCCAATATTGCTTAAGTGAAAGTTGCGCATAAGTTTGCATTTGAACAAGCATTAAAGTGACCACAACCACATCTAGTTAGAGTAATCCTGTTAATATCATCCTGTGTTTGTGTTCTGAAAGGTGGAGAAAATTAAAAAAGCCCTTCAGACGGACAAAGATCTCAGGCAGGAAAACTTAGAAAACATAATGGTATGGAGATAGAAAGTTATTGTGTGTTTGTTACAAAACATGGTTAATAAAAGACATTTTGGAACAGCACTAACAATTTGCATTTCTTTTTTCATAGGTCGGTTCAGTGGAGAAGTTTCAGGGTAAAGAGTGCAGCGTTATTCTGGTGTCTACAGTGCGCAGTTATCCCAAACTGACTGCACACAAGCAACAAGTTACTATAGGCTTTGTTGATAATGAGAAGGTGAGAAGCATTGCAAAGACACACAATAACTGAAAGGCAATATTTGTACAAGATGTCCGTTGTATTTTACATGCTCCTTTTAGAATGTTGAGTCCCTTTCATGCCTGCACAACAATCCAAAGACACTCATTAATACATGCACCCTGACAAAAACTCTCTCCTCAGAGGTTCAACGTAGCATTGACCCGAGCACAAGCCTTACTGATTGTGGTCGGAGACCCGAGAGTCTTGAAAACTGAACCAATCTGGAACAAGTAAGGCCTCATTGGTCTAATTCTCTTTCAAGTTTTGTTCGGACAAATAAATATCTAATTCCAACATGCCTCATAAAATAACTTCTCTTTGTAGATTCATCCATTACTGCTCTGAAGAAGGGGGTTACCGTGGCATTGCAGTGTCTGATGGAGAGGAAGAGGAAGAGGAAGATGCACTGCCAAATGTACACTCAGAGTGACTCTGGTAATAAGCACATTCACCAGAACTCCCACACATTTTGCAATGTTTGTCTTTCCATTGTCCTAAAAATCATCTTGATGACTAAGGAATGTTTGGTTTCTCTTTCCGCATTTGATCTACACCCCACAGTGAAGAGTGATTCAGAAACAGCTGCAACCATGTTGAAGGAGCAACACCCCTCACACAGACTGAATATTTAACAAAACAAAAGCAAGAATAAAGAACTGGTTGAGAAACTAAGCTTGAGTGTGCAGTTCACTCAGAAAAGACGCAGGGCAAAACTGCATATCTGAAAAATTATCATTTGTTAACCACATTTGTACATACAATGCATAGAATTGGAGTCATTACTTTCCTATTAGATTGACTTTTTGTGTATTTCCTATCTAAAAAATCTGACAATCATTATTAGGTTATGTAAAACTGTCTGTAGAAATAACAACTTATTTTTTTATATTTAGACTAATGTGAACAAGATGTTTAAGGAAATTGAAGTGGAAATAGATTCGCAATTTAATCTGATTATCGGGCTATTTCAAAAAGAAGAGCTATGTTTCCATGGTTACAATCAGTAACATCTGCTGACAACTGACACATATAGAAAAACATTGACTTACTTTGTGGTTTGCTAATTCTTGTGAAACAAGAAATGCTAGGGGAATGCGTAGGTATGCATATGTATTTCTCAGTTGACATTGAGATGACTCATCAAGTTGTTGAGTAAACATATATTTTAATATCTGTAGTATTTTTATCTTTTTTTTGTATCTCATAACCAAATAATTGTTGTAATAATCACAAAAAGAAGTCATCATCAAGTGTACCAATTACTGTTATGATAAGCCTCCTGTGTGTTTAATGTGTGCAATTTAAGTTTCTAGCATCACCCTTTTTTACAAGTTGAGTACTTAAGAAGCTTTATTTTGAGCCAACACTAATTTCATCTGTAAAGAGGGAAACTAAAAAACAAGGCATTGAAACTAGTTTAACAGAGTGCGTTATCATTTATAATCTGATAGTTGGCGATGCCAGACAAAATAACAAAAGACAATGTGGAAAAAATGTGAAACAGTTGCACAAAGTCATGATCTCATGATCTTTGTTACTTGTAACACGTTTAGCTACCTTATCTTATTGGCCTCATGTATAAAGGTTGAAGGGAATCCAGTAAGACTTTCCTTGCACCCTTTAAACGATAGCTTTACGTTTCCTGCATTAGGGTGGGTTTAGTACTGATAGGCACACACCTATTATCTGGATGTGTGTGAGTGTGTGTGTGTCTGTCTACCTCACTGAACTGCCACAGCTCGCAATCTCATGCCAACATTGTTTTTGATCACAAACATATTCTAAAGGTTGTCCATTTTACACAATCTGCCTCAAATTATAACAGATTATTTGGCACATTCAGAACTATAAGGTTATACATTTTTATAAAGGACCATTTACCTGGTCATTTTAATGTAAACATCCCCATTTTAGCAATAAAGGGCCATGCATAAAACTGCTCTACAGATGTATGAACCTGTTAACATTTCACTCTTGTTTATTATTAGACTGCAGTCAGCAATAATGGTATTGCTTAAAGTTTACTGTATCTTCCATGTTCTGCTACATCCTTACAGTTATAACCGAGTAGGCATTATACAGACTAAAATGACAATCTGACAGGTCACGTTATTGCTGACTGTTCACTGACTGACTCATCCGGATCATATGTTTTTATGACTCCTCTGTTCCACTTGGTTAGGAGTTTCGCTTTGCTCCTTTTGGTGTGTTTGTGAACACGTTAAGTTTCGTTTCTCCGGACTGAGCGGCTGTGTGGGTGCACCTGCTTTATTGAACGTAGCCTGCCGGCCTCAGTGTTGCTGCTCTGTAACACGAGAGACAGAAACACCGCCCCTGTGGACTGTCCGGGGATATAAAGAGAACCGCTGTCTCCGGAATCTATTCTGTGATGTAAATATACAGTAAGGAGTTCACTGTATTAGGTCGAATAATCCAGACGTTTCTTATTTGATCTTCAAACATCAATTTTCGATCATGGTTAATATAAAGTTATCCGTGTGCTGCAGAATTGGAGTCGATTTTTTCGAGTTTTTGAAGGAAAGTGAACGAGCATCCATTACAGACAGATTGGAATTAAGAGACATTTACAACAACGAGTTCAGGAACAGGTACATTCTACATAATAGCGATATCCAATAACATCTTCTTGTATGTATTTTTGACAGTTATTGTTAATACTTTCGAAATGTTTTTCTTTGCTTTTAAGGAATGCATTGCCCAAAGATCCAAGATTCAGTTCAGTTCTCTATGCCCTGATGATGTCCAAGAAAATAACAAGACGGAGGGACAATATCCGCTTCAACTCCAAGGTATGCACTTCCGCATTATATTGTGTGCACCTTAGCCTATGTTTAATAATATTTCAAATGTATGTAAGGGTAACCGCAACTACAGCTTTTGAAAATGAAAATGCAATGTTCAAACTGTGGCTTTCATCAGCTGCAACGAGACCCTTGTCCCTTTAATGGCACACTGAATATATTTCAGATTAAACCTAGAGTTAGAGGGAGCTGGATATACAACAGTCAATTACAAATATAATCTTAAAGAATGTAATTGTTTTAATTTATGGGTCAAAGTCTAATACATATCTGACAGGTCACATGCAATAGTGATGTCACTTTGCACCACAAGTCACTGCTGCAATGTCAAGTATACACATCTGTCTTTTTGTATCCTGGTTCTAAATAGTTCTTCTAGTTGATTGGTTATTTATTAAAAGGTCATTATAGTGTCGTCATTTCCAGGTTTTAGTTTTATTCACTCTCTTTCCTAAAGCGGTGTTTAAGTTCTTCAGTTGAACAAGAAGAATAATCACATTTTTGACTTTCTTTTTATATTTATGAGGTTTATTTATCATTATTGTTAGTTTATATTTTGAAATTGTATTGAATTTCAATATGTTAAGTTGGTGGAATCATGTCTGAAAAAATCCTTAAAATACGCGCACAGAGAAAAAACACCACATGTGCCTTTTCAAAAAGGTGTGGATACCATTATATCAACTGTAAGCAAATCGTCAAAACAGAGGACACTGTTACTTGATTGGGGAATTTTCCATTTTAAGACAAAATTTACATTGCAAGTGATCCTTTGCACAGGTCACAGCTCTTTTTCTGGACCAGTGGCATTCACCAAAGAGACGCCAGCCAGAACCAGTCCTGAATGGAGCGGCCAGTCCCGGGACAGTAGAGACCTTTACCTCTGCAGATCAGGCATTAACGGGAGTTCGAGCCCGAAGGAATCTTGCGAGTCTTCTGATGACCAGCCTGAAGAAAAACAGGTAACGGGTGCCAAATATTATGAGTCCTCTTTGTTTTTCAATGCTGACCTCCTACTATTTCTTTCTACTGTGCGATCCTCTTAAACCAAATATGTTCAGTATTTTTTTGTAGACAACTCAATACAAACAAAAACTGGAATGCGCCACTGTCTACAGACACAAGGCAAAAGTAATTAAACCTGCTCTTTTTTCTCTTCCACAGGGCTCAATTCATCTCCGACAAACATGGTGTCCGCATCGACACTGACACTGAACAGTTCCGGAACGGGAAACTTTCCCTGCGCATTGATGACACATTTGAGGTATTGATGTTGTAAACCAACAGCATTCTCTGTTGACCATCTGCTGAAACACTTAACCCCTACTTGGTGGTGTAAATGTTAAGTTACACTGCATGAATATTTTTATTTTTTAAACAGTGTGTGGTAAATCTGAAGGTGGAAAACACTGGAACAGAACCTGTGTATTTCACCTACTACACCCCGCTGCACTGGCTCAGGGACTTCACGCTGAAGGATGAGCTCAACGTCACCAAGACAAACCCTCTGTGTCTAAAACCAGGTTGCGCATACATCATAAACAAGTTTCATTTTATCTTAATTTATGATGCCATATTTTGCTCAGCTGAGAGAGAATTTATGGACACAATAAACCGCTATGACTACACTAAACATTATGAACTGTTGCTGTCTATTGTCAGGTGCCAGTTATAACATCCAGGTTAACTTCCGCTGCAGTTTGGTTGGTTTCTATCCAGCTACACTGGCCTTTGAGTTCAAAGAAGACCTGCAGTCCTCCGCTGCCTTCCACATAGTGCGCTATATCGAAGCTCAGTGTGTAACTGCCTTAGGACTGGAGCTGGCTCCTGTAGCCCCCTACAAACCCCTCCCCCTCCCTGCCTGGACCCCCGAAGAGTGCTTCTTGATTGACGATGGGCAGAAACCTGAAGGGTACCATCATTCACTCAGCACAATCATAAATATACTGCAGATGTAACAATTTAAATGTGATATGTCCCCTGGTGATGTATCTAAATGTTTCCATGTTGTCTCCTCTTTCCAGGCTGTCAGTGATGCAGCTCAAAAATGTGGTTGAGCTGAAACAGTATAGAATACCACCAAACATGGCCCTGCTCATCCAGTCACTGAAGCAGCTTTACTCCTGTGATAGAAGGTACATTGAGTTTAGTTTTTGATATTTCCAGTAGATAAAGGATAACACTTTTGTAATAACTGGAAAGCCTATCTTCACTTACACGTTTTCACTATGATGTTAATGTCTATAAAAGGTCACAGTGTAGCCAATAGAAAATACATTAACATGCAACTGATTTGCAACAGAAAAAAACAGTTCTAGAAAAAACATAAGCCTGGTCAGTTATTATTTGTCTTTCAACATAATGAGGAAATGTTGGTATTTAACTTATCTGGCTAGTCGCAAAAATGTTATGATACTGAAAAAATCTATTAAATGTTCACGTACAACACATTTTATACATTTTTGCCCAAAATACCCAATCTCGCAATACAATATATACTTGAAGTGACTGTTGCTTTATAAACGTTATGGTATGTTAAGACACAGGTGATGGAAATACTGTAGTTTTAGTTTAGTTCAGATAAATTATGCAATGGCTTAAAATAAAAGCTACAACTTTTATCAACATTTAATCAAAGACATTATCTTACCTCAACCAAAGTGTTTTTGTTGTGTATATTGGCATTTCCATTGAGTCTATGGGTGACTCAATGCAAATGCCAATATTCCTATTTATATACAACTGCAATAATATAGGTACTGCCACATTTGTTCATTCCCCTTTTGTTATTTTAGAAGGGCCTTGCTGGA